ACTGCGACACTGACACACCTGCGCGCGTGCTCACCTGCCCTCGGCGAACCTGCAGTTCCCGTAGACAAAGAACTTGCAGAGGTGCAGCTGCTGGCAGCCCCCCCCGCCGCACTTCCCCCCGCCGTACTTCCCCCCGCCGTAGCCGCTGCACAGCCGCAGGGACGTCCTGGCGACCACCGCGCGGTCCTCCAGCCGCTCCCCTACCAGCAGGAAGCGGGAGCACCGGCTGATGATGAAGCAGAACTCTTCCTCGGTGATGCTGCAGCGCTGCAGCAGCTTCTGGTGCAGCTGCAGCACCTGCATGGCTCCGCTGTTGCTGCACAGCAGGCTGGTGGCCAGCTGGACCTCGGTGCTGTAGGCAGACATGGTGCTCGGACCAGCTGCTGGACTCATCTGAGGAGGAGGGAGGAAGCGCAGGGAGGTACCTGCGCGTCCTCACCTCCGCCCCAGACTGTCAGAATAAAAGCATGGATCCTGACCGCCAATCACAAGCTGTTGTCTTTTGAAATCTTGTTTCATTGTTATTCATTATTTCAGGCAGTTTTTCTGATTTATTGGCCTTCATCATTTTACCTTAGCTTGGTCAGCGTCACCATGCATGGACTCAGATCACTAAAGTGGAGCAGTGACTCTGATTCATTGTTGATCATTAGTTAGATTAAATATATGAAACTGCACACGCACATCCAGGGAGGGAAGAGAGAAAATAAAAACAGGAAGTAAAGGAGAACAAAGATATCAATCAAACAACTCATTCTCTAATCTTTACTTTTAATTTAACAGCAGTTTATTCACTTTATACAGTTTAATACTTATTTCCTGTAATGAAGCTGACTGATTTATTCACTCTGGACAAGAGCAGAAGAACAAACCAATGGACAGAAGGAAACCTTCAGGGCCCCCGGGGGTTTGGGGAGTCTGGATGGTCAGACTCGCTGCTCTCTCAGCCGCCTGTAGACAAATCAGCAAAATATTATAGAGACCACAGGCTGCTCGTTAACCTTCTGAATCACCTGTTAGATTTCACTAAAAGAAAAGGTGAAACTCCAGGTTATTTTATGTACAGAGCATGTGAGCACACTCTGTCTCTCCATCCACCCTGAAGCACTGTGCGAGGACCACTGGACTGAACGACTACAGACCCGTCGCCCTGACCTCTGTGGTTATGAAGCCCTTTGAACGCCTTGTGTTGTCCCACCTAAAATCCATCACAGACCCTCTCCTGGACCCCCTGCAGTTCGCCTACAGAGCCAACAGGTCTGTAGATGATGCAGTAAACATGGCCCTTCACTACATCCTCCAGCACCTGGACTCCCCAGGAACCTACGCCAGGATCCTGGTTGTGGATTTCAGCTCTGCTTTTAACACCATCGTTCCGGCCCTGCTGCAGGACAAGCTCTCCCAGCTGAGCCTGCTTGACTCCACCTGCAGGTGGATCACTGACTTCCTGACGGACAGGAAGCAGCACGTGAAGCTGAGAAAACATGTCTCTGACTCCGGTTCCCCTCAAGGCTGCGTTCTTTCCCCCCTTCTCTTCTCCCTGTACACCAACAGCTGCACCTCCAGTCACCAGTCTGTCAAGCTCCTGAACTTTGCGGATGACACCACCCTCATTGGGCTCATCTCAGGTGGGGATGAGTCCGCCTACAGGTGGGAGATCGACCATCTGGTGACCTGGTGCAGCCAGAACAGTCTGGAGCTCATCGCTCAGAAGACCGTGGAGATGGTCGTGGACTTCAGGAAGAGCCCAGCCCCACCCTCCCCCATCATCCTGTGTGACTCCACAGTCACCACTGTGGACTCCTTCTGCTTCCTGGGCACCATCATCTCCCAGGACCTCAAGTGGGAGCTGAACATCACCTCCCTCACCAAGAAGGCCCAGCAGAGGATGAACTTCCTGCCGCAGCTGAAGAAGCTGCCAAAGACAATGATGGTGCACTTCTACACCGCCATCATTGAGTCCATCTTCACCTCCTCCATCACCATCTGGTACGCTGCTG